GCTTGAGGGATTGGCTTACTACGTACCATGTGGGGATGCGGTAGGAGAGGCATCTGGCAGGGTCTGGCTGTGGCTCCTGGTGGCTGGACAAGGGTTGCTGGCAGGAGCAGCCCCAGGTCGCACAAAGTCCTGGGGTCCTGGGGTCCGCTGGGGTGGGGAAGACCCTGGTTCTGGGCAGCCGTTGATCAGCACGATGGGTATGTCCACCATGGAGTTGGCGATGGATGGGGGGCAGCTGCTGGCATGCTCCTTGTCCAGTGGCGGGGAGCAGGCTGCTCTGGGCTGGCCCCTGCTTGGTGTGGTACTGCTGGGCACCTGGTTGTCACTGGCTCTTGTGCACAGGGACCCTGGGCCAAGGCTGTGGAGACTGGAGGAAGAGCTGGCTGGGCTTTCCAAGGACCTAGAAGATGACTGTGGGCTGGAGATGCTGGAGCGGAGGAGAGACTGGCTGCTGCAGGGGGAGAGAGCACCAGATGGGCAGCGTGTTAGGGTGGTGAGGTGGGCACTCAGGGGGTGGAGCTGGGCCCTGTCATTAGTGACCTGGGTGCCTATGGCTTTGGCCAAATAAAATATAGGGTGTCCCAAAATTCACGCCAGATTTGAATTTTGGGTGAGCATTAACAACAACAATAACAACAACAAATAAAAGCCTAATTTTACTTGGTTTATTGAATCACATTCTAATATCTGTTGCCCTTGATTTCAGTCCCTTCAATTTGATAAGCATTACCAAGTACCAATGATGGCCCAGGAGCAGGGACAATGAAGACCAATGAAGACCACGGCTTTGCGTATGTGCCAGCAAAGCCGTGGGGGCCATTTACCCGATGTGCTATTCCATACATAACCCTATACTGTGTACTTTATGAATCAATTAAAATTTACAATTTTTAATTATAAACCTGTGTTTTCTATCAAAATTACTTCTTGCGTGAATTTTGGGACACTCTATACTATAGACTCCACTCCCTACAGCCCAGAGCAAAAGGCATGCCTACCCGATCCCCAAGGGGTGCTGAAAAATACAGAAATGTCCCTGCACTGTGGTCTTCGGTTAATTAAAGTAGCCGAGTAAGCTGACCCTTCACAGGTCATGTGGTCTGGACGGGTTCCCTCTGCTTTCCCAGCGAGGCAGGTCTGACTGAGCTGTCACACCAGCCTCTCCATCACCCCATCGCCCCCGAGAGCCCTGCACACAGGCTGGCCCCGGATCGGACCATGTCTGCGCTCATGCAGAGGGAATTCTCTAGCTGGAGAAGGGGAGGAGGCCAGCTCTGCCTCCAGCCAGACCTCTCCCTGTGCTCAGAGGCCGGTGCCAGTGGGCATGGCCAAGGGATCCCAGTCTCCTTGCCAGGGACTCCCTTGGCACAGTGGCTTTGGAATCGGTGTAGGGGGCAGAGGTCCTGGGCAGGATGGGTGTGTGTGCAGCTCTGCTGTGGGGCCTGCAGAGAACTGGGCGGTGATGGCACAAAAGAGAACAGCTACTTTTACTTTTGGTGCATGCCCAGATTTTTGCTGACAGAGCAGGCTATCTCTCTATGATGTGCGTGTGCGTGCGTGCGTGCGTGTGTGTTGTGGAGGCAACATCAGAAGTCATAGAGGGAGTGACCTACCTTCCAAATACGTAGCTGACATCCGTCGCTGGGTGGGCCGACACCATAGAGACCCCGTTGCCTCCAAGTGTGGCTGGGCCTCCCAGGCCCTTCTCCAGGCCTGGAGAAGCCATCAGGGGGGAACCAAAGCCATGGGGGCCTGAGGCCTTGCTCCTCGTGCAAGGGATGGAGATGGTGGGAGAGGGTGGGGGATGAGAGGACAGAGCCCCAGGCGGGGGAGGAGGGCGCTGGTGCCCAATGCCTTGGTTCCCAGAGAAGATGAGGCTTTCACTGCTGCTTCGAGTCTCTCGGGGGATGTCTCTGGAAAGGAGGAGGCCACCATTGCGTGGGGAGCCGAAAGGCGGGGTGACAGATGGGCTGGAGCAGCGCTGGGGGCCATCGTGGCACCTTGATCTGGCGGAGGTCACCTCGATGTACTTTATATCTTTGGGGAGAGAAGCAGACCGTTGGTGAAACCGGGAGCCTGGACTAACAGGACGGGAATGCTGGGAGGGTCCTGAAGACCAATGGTCTCCCCTCTTTTATGTCGATGAGGAAACAGGGGCAGAGAGGAGGAGCTCATTGGACGCAGAATTAGCATCCGGCTCCACCTTCAGGGCTCAGTGCCAACGTCACCCTCTTTGTGACATCTTCCCCTGAGTGGGGAGATGCAGTCGGATAAGCAGGCCTCGGAGTCAGACCTGGGTTTCAGATGTGGCTCTGCCGCTTACCCTCTGAGAGAGCGTGGCCAACACCTTCGCCTAGAGAGGCTCAGTCTCCACACCTGGGAAATGGGGGTGGCTATGCCAAGCCTCTTGGTGGTACAGGAAGGAGGAAAGGAGATGAACGTAGGGGGCCCAGCACTGCGCCTGGCACATAGTAAGCCCTTTAAAACGGACACATAGGAAGCCCTTTGTGTATGCCCCACACTCTGGGCTGAAATGCCCGCTTACCAGAGTGTGCCAGTCACGTCTTCTGATGCCTCTCTTGCTCAGGGTGTGTGAAAGCTGTTTCTATGTCTGTCCCTACAGCGAAGGCTCGGTTGCACCCTAGGGACACCCAGTGAGCATTTAAAGTCGTAATGCCTAGGCTCCACCCCAAACCAATGGGACCAGCATCTCCCGGGTGGGCTCAGGCCTCAGGTTGTTTGTTTGGTTCCCCAGGTGATGCCAGCGCGCATGGAGATGAACAGAACCTCAGGCTCCAGCCCAGGCCTACTGGACCTGGATCTGCAGTTTTAGCAAGAACCCTGGGTTCTGGGCCCACCTTAGAGTTTGGGGACTTTGCTTTGGAGCAGGAGCTCGCTGAGGGCAGGGCTTGCGGCATTGCTAAGCCGGGGGGCTCCACAGCCGGGGCCACGCTGGGAGCTGGTGCACAGTGATTGGTGATCACACCGGGCCCAGGCTGCTGACTCACTGCAAAGCTCTCTCCATTCCCCAGGGGGGGCGCCCAGGACTCTTGTCCTCAGACCATGTTCCTCCCTGAAGTAGGGTGCCCTGTGGTTCTCCCCAAGGTGAGGATTGACACCCAGCAAGGGTGGTGGAAGGTGGGGGTTCCCCAGATGCTTGTTTCTGGAGGGCTGTCCTGCCCCTGCTTCCCAGGTTGGAAACTGGGACAGAGTCAGCGGGAACTGCACCCTCAGCGCCTGTCTTCCAGCCTCCCACCCACTTGGGTTCTGGCACACGCACCTCGCGGGCTGTGACTATGGAGTCCCGGCCTGCCCCAGCCCGCTCTGGGGCAGGGCTGCTGGCTCTGCTCACCGTTACTGCCTCTGTCTGAGCCTGCTTGGGCCAGGGTTGGGGTGCACGGTTGCATCAGATGAGGGGCTGGCAGGCTGACCTGGGCTTGCTGTTCCAGGGGTGGAGGCACAGGCCTGGCTTTGTCATCAGGCAAACCTGGGTGTGAGTCCTGGCTTTGCCACGTTCCCGCCAAGAGGCATCGGGTAACTTTCCTAACCACGCGGAACCTCAGTTTCCTCATCCGCGAAGTGGGGATCTAAATCCAGCCTCTAAAACACAGGGATGAATGGGGCCTGGAGTCTGGCCCAGGGTGGGCTCCTGGGAGCATCTTCTCCCTGCCTGCTTTTGGGGGCAGATGGCTCATACTCTCTGGCTAAGGTGTGGGTCCCACTGTGGAGGGCAATAGGAGACTGTCTGGCACAATGTGCTGTGGGCTCTGAAAGAAATGAGGTCTTGGAATGGGGTGGATTCTTCTGGAAGGTTGGCAAGCGCAACTTGTATTTTTATAGGACTTCATAGTGTTTACACCCGTGATCCTTTCAAGCTTCACTACAGCCGTTATGCCCAATGTCAGAAGATATTGCTTTTAAAGAGGAGGAAACGGAGGCTCAGAGAAAGGTGGGAGTGGAACTAACATTTATGGCACAATTTTTAGTAAAGTTGGGTATTTATTAAGTGCTTTGTGCCAGCATTATTACCTGTATTAGTTTATTCAGCCCTCACGATAACTCTATTGCAGTGGGAAATATTATCAATTCCATATAACAGATGAGAAATCAAGGTTCAGAAAGGTTAAGTGAGTTATCCGATGCCACACAGCCAGGAATAGAGGACCCCTCCCTCCTGCTCCTTTGCTCTGATTGGGGGCCTCTTCCGGGAGGAGGGGTTCCTTGGGACCCTTTCCCAAGGCCTTGCCCGGTGAGAAGGTACTTGGCTGCTTTGGGGAGGGCCTGTTGGTCTGGGGAAGCTGTGGGCTCCTTCCTTACTGGGTCCCCCAAACACTTGGGAAAGGCCTTTCTGGCAGGAGGAGCAAGCAGCGGGGAGAGTGCAGGAGGAGTCCTGGAGCCTGAGTCACCTCCTGCTGCTGCCCCGAGGTGGATGTGGCTAGGGGAGGTGGCTGCCCCCACCCATCACCTGGTGCAGTCACTGTTTACAGCCCATGGGGCAAGTCTGAGCAGTGCTCAGTGGATCCAGGCACCAGCGCTGGCCGGGTGGGTGGGTGGGGTCATGTGGGTCGGGAGAGGAGAGACAATTATTAGACACTTTTCACTTGAGATTGGCAAACAGCCTTGTTTGGCAGAAATTGCTGGAAAATGAAATATGGGGGCCTGTTCCAAAGATGGGGAGGGGTGGCAGAGAGGATAAAGAAAGGAATATGGTGGTGGCTTCTAGGAGCCACATCCTCTGTGGGATGCGAACCTGTCCCTCCAACCCCTCCTCTCTCCCTGCAGAGTAAGCCTGAGGAAAGGTAAGCAAGAGGCTGGGGTAGGGAAGCTGGGGGAGGTTTGGGGCTCTGGGGAGATGGGGCCTCAGAAGATGACCCACAGTGCCTCCAAGGGGATTTATTCTATGCAGCCCTGGAGGGTGGGAAACTAGCTCCAAGGAAGAGAGAAAGCAAGGACATGACCTTGAAGCCCAGAAGCCTGGGCTTTTAGGCCTGACCTATATCATCACTAGCAGTGTGGCCGTGGGCCATTGCTTCCCCGCAGTGTTCTCAGCTGTAAAATGAGGTTATCACTCTTT